GCATGTGCAGCGAGGAACGCTAGGCAAAGGCACGAGCCACGTCCCGGCAGGCGAGATTTTGTCATGCTACTCCAAACAGCTCTCACTCTAAAACGTATGAATTGTTTTCTTCTGAAATTTTCTGTGTTAGACTTTCAATTTCATCACGCGTGGCCGCGGATAACTGAAACCACAGAAAGCGAAATATGGATAAGGGGACCACTGCATCTGCCTTGCTCGTCACGGAACCTTTGCCAAGATGTGCTGCTGCTCCAGATCTCAGTGCTCCATCTCAGACTGGCTGTTAGCAGAGCTGTCTTCGGCTTGTTCAGCCTCATTTGTTTGTCTTTTTGTCCGTTGTTTGTTTATTCCCCTTGACACTGAGAGTAGTGGGTCCTGCCTGGGCTTTTCCCAGCAGGGCTCCTCTGAGAGTTAAAGCAGATCTTTGGAATCTGCACGGTCCATTTGTCCTGGATCTATAACAAATGGCATTCAACAGTCACTGGGCCAGGCACCGTGAAACCCAAGGCAAACATGTAGGGTCTGACCTCCAGGCCCTCACAGACTGAAGGGCAACAGGTTCATACAGATAAGTGTCTGAAAGTATGATAGACTCCAGATCGCAGAGGATTCTATCCCCATATAAAGTACCTCCATCTGTGACAGTACTCGCTTGCACTTGGTTAAAATCCTTTGACTACTGAAACCGGTTTGGCTCAGGGAATAGAGTGTCAGCCTCCGGACTGAAGGATCCCGGGTTCAATTCAGGTCAAGGGCATGTACCTTGGTTGCAGGTGCATCCCCAGTGGAGGATGTGCATGAGGTGGCTGATAGGTGTTTCTCTCTCATCGATACTTCTCTCTATCTCTCTCCCTTCCTCTCTGTAAAAAATCAATAAAATATATTTAAATAAATAAATAAATAATAAAATAAAATCCTTTGACTAAGAAATGGGCCTCCTTTTTGGTCACTAGCAATGAGATGAGATTTAAATTTAAAATGAGAGCACTGCTGGAACACAGAACACATTGACTTAGGTGTCTCTGAAGCAGAAATGATGGTGTTGGAATCTTTCCTACAAATAGACTTTCAAAAAGCAGAGAAAGAAAGCAGAACAACTCCTAATTTATGCACCATAATTTAAAGCTGGAGTCGGTAAACCTTTTCTGTGAAAAGACACATAACAAACATTTTAGACTTTTCAGGTCACAGCCCAAGACACGACGTAAACAGATGAGCATGGCTGTATTCCAATAAAACTTTATTTATTTGTGAACAATGAAATTTGAATGTCATATAATTTTATTTTCCCAGGTCATAAAATGTTATTCTTCTTGTTAATTTCTTCCAGTCACTTGCAAATGTAAAACCATGCTTAGCTCTGGGAAACACAGACCGAGGCCGAGGGTGGCCCAGGCCGTCATCCGCCAGCCCTGCTGTCCAGGCTGTGGGGACAGTCCAGCAGCAGCCCCAGGGCTGGTTAGACACACAGAGCTCAAGCCCCACCCTCGTCGGCGGAAGGAGAAACTGCGTCATAAGAACATCATCTCATGTCTGATCTGCACATCCCAGTTTGAGGACTGGCTGATAGTCTACACAGACTGATAAAAATACAACTTCCCAGAACAATGGCCCCAGGGAAAGTTCTGAGCTTCTCCGAGCCTCAGTTTCCCCGTGTGTGAGAAGAAGATGACAGCATTGTCTCCCTCAGCGTGGCTGTGAGACACACACACACACACACACACACACACACACACGCACACACAGAGCTGAAATGTTATCTGTCGTTACTATTACAAAAGCTCACACTATGTTACTTCCACAGCCACCCTCTGAGACAGGCACTCTTTATCCCATTTCACAGAAGAAACTGTGACCCAGAATAATCGAGGTCTTCCTGTCCCCAAATTTAGTGCTGAGGGTAATGAAGGGCTCAAGGGTACAAAATGGTACACAGTCCCCCAATGAGAGGTCTTCATGTCCATGTCTCCCTTCCAACGGCTCACTCTCAGAGGCCTCTTTCAGCCCGTGCTCCTGAGACACCCACTTCCAGTGAAACATTCATCTTACATAAAAACTGCTGTTTGAAATTCTAACCCTGCTATTTTGGCTTCTGTAAATGCTTGCTTGCTTAAATAATAAGGAAAATAAGACTGCTCCCATTCCAGAGAAGCCATAAACCTTCCCCAGACGAAGTTATCGGTGCTGGTGCCAGGCCAAGCCTTTAGTTGATGTCTCAAAGCCCCAGCACATGGGGCTCTTTAAGAACTGGGGACTGGAAAACTTTATATTTGGGAAACAAAGAGGGTAAAAAGATATAAATAGGGAAAGTTCCTCCATGTTGGGGCCCAGAATTTGAAATACAGTTTTCTCTCATCCCTCGTGTAATGATAAAGTGTAACTCCATCTCTCTAAGAGTTACTTGATTCTTCTCTGGTCTTCTGTAACTCCAGGGCACAGCTCCCCACTCGCCATTCAGGGACGTCCCTGTGTCTGTACCCAAAGCTCCTCGTTTGCTCCTTGAAATGTATCTTCCACTGACTCATTAGTGTTCTTTACAACTCCTCTTTCTGGTTACAGATTGTAAGTGTTCCCTGGCTGAGCTTGCAGTCACTGTTTTTTATTATATCTGTAGGGCTCAGGGGGAAAAAGGCAATTCCTTTATTTGAGAATCTTGACATTTATTATCATACTAAAATTCTCAAGATGAAATTGCAGTTTTCCAGAATATGATTCTATTTGCAGGACAACATGCAAGAAATTTATTTTAGGGACAGGTAAAACCTAAAATATATGAGAATGCAGAAAGTGCATACCCCAAGTAAAATGAGACAAAGGTGTTAGGCACAGACACCTTGGCTACTGTCTCTCACATATTAATTGGGGTGACAGAGCAACGGGTTCTCAACACAGCTTGGTCTGCTTTCAAAGCTGCTGCTCTTTCTTGGAATCAAAACTTCCTTCTAACACCTGAAAAATCAGCACATCCTATCTATCCCCTGGCCACCTCACCGCTGAGCATGAAATGATTGTCGCTGTTATAGTGTTGCAATTAGCAACACCTCTCACTTGGACAGAGATTCCATACTCATCATTGAACTGATCTGCAAAAAAAAACTTAGCGATGGCCACACAGAACATTCTCTTCTCCATCCTACAGAGAGTTGGTGTGACTTGAACAGTCAGGCAGTGGGCAAGTAGTGTAATCAAAGCTAAAATTCGGTTCCTCTAAGTCCCGTAGAAAGGAGGTCATTTTAATGATATTGTCTATGGTTTTAAAGCTCTGTAGAGTCTAGAAAGCAAGGTCGCTCCATCCCTGCATTCTATCCACCCAGGGCCCTGGGAGACAGGCGGATAGGAGGGGAGCCATGGAGGCAGAGTGCAAGTGGTATTATTAAACACGTTTGGGTGATGGGCCCAACAGGCAGAGTCTATGGTATTATAAGTGCTTACCTGCTGCTACTTGATGCAGAAGTGCAATCCCCAAGGAGCAGAGGAAAGAGAAAGGGGAGTGAGGCAGCAAAGGAGGAAGAACAGACAGAAGGACGGGGCACTGAACTGACCACTGCTTAGCTTCTCTAGGACTAGTTGCTGATCATTCAGGACTGTTTGAAAAGTCCCTCGGGGAGGAGAAAGAGAGAAAATTGACTTATCAGCCATAGTCTCCCATTGATAAAGGCTCACCGCATGGAGAGTTCACTTCCCAGCTCTTCCTAGTTGCATGGTCTCCTGCCTCTGCAGCAACAGTGGACGAGAGGCCCAGAGCACCGCACGCACGGGACAAGGTGCTGCTGGCTTACATTCACATGCAGCTGACAGACTGGGGAGAGCAGAGCCCATGCAAAATTGGCTGCAGCAAGTGGAGATTGGGGTGAAACAAGAGGTCAAGGATGTGAGGAATAGGTGAAGCACGAGGTGAAGTAGATATGAGGGATGTTTGATACCTGTCAAGTACGGTAAACCAGGTCACTGACACCCACAGAGTCCATTCATCTTACTCTCACCAAACACAATGCTGTCTCTATGTCTATGTCCTTAAGTGTGCATGTGCACACATAGACCTCATCCCTCAGAGCAGTTCAGACATTATTGGGAGAGTCTTCTTCTTAAGGGGAAGAACATATTTAAAATAAGTGGACAACAGAATCAAAAATAAAAGGACTATGAAGACAAGGTATTCATTAGAGTAACCTGCAGGAAAGAGCCAGATCCTAAAGAGCAAAGGACTTTTCAGATGTCTACGGATCTTTCTTAAATTATACTTCCCCCCAGGTTTGGGGCACAGCTAGAAGAACATACAAAACCATAGCCTCCATATTGCAGAATGAGAGCCAAGATGTGGTTTCAGACAGAGGAGGGGAGGCAGAAGAAGAGGTGAGTAAGAAAGGCGGGGGAGTATCAGTCACCTGCTCTGGAAGTTGGGGCTCAGAAACCTTAGCAATTCCACTGATACTGTCACTGAGGTGATGATGAACATTATTAAAGAAGCAGCATCTATGCTTCCCACATAAACCCTTTACAGCGCTTCCTCCATCATCTCCACGACTTAATGAAGAGTGACGAGTAGGAAATCCTTACTAGAAATCAGGGATGCGTGCTGAAAATGTTCAGGAAAAGTACATTCATTCAACAGGCATTTATTGAATGGACACCATGTGTTGAATTCAGAGTTCGGCACTGGCATTAGTGTGGATCATAAAAACATGATCCACAAGCTCTAGGGGCTGAGTTAGAGCAGCCACAACAAACAGGCTTCATCGTCTGATGTCCTATCCAAACTCTTCATGCAAGCTCTGCATCAACCAGTAGCCATTTCTGGCCTGGGCACTGGGACAGGGGCCGGCAGCACATAGGCCCTATCTTTTGTAGCTCTTGAAACATTCTAATCTACTTAATCCTCTGGATGGTGGGTGAATCTTCCAGAAGGCCATAAAGATTTGAGCTGAGAAGTTCTTGGGTAAAAAAAAAAAAGAAAGAAAAGAAAAGATGCCTAAAGTTGTCCAGGGGCAAAGGGGCAAGTGTCATTCAAACAGCAAGTGGTAGTCTGGCGGGCTGTCCCTCTGGCCACAGGGCTCCTGCAGCAGCTCTCCCCCCGAAACAGTGATGATTTCCTCCTAAAAAAAAAAAAAAAGAAAGAAAGAAAAGAAAAGAAAAGAAATATTCACTTATAATCAACAAAGGGAAATAAGCATTCACGAGAGAGAAAGAATTAGAGGTAGAAAAACTAAGCATATGTACCTGCCTCCTGCCTCCTCCTCATTCAAATTTCTAGAAATCACAGGGGAGAGTGGGGGGAATCTGCTTTTAAAAAATAAATAAATACATAAAAGTATGGGAAAATAAGAAAGGCAATCAACAAATCAAAAATGTTGAGAACTTGAAAACCAAAAGATATACAGGACGAGGTTTTTAGAGGTGTTACTGTGGGGCAAGTATCAGTGGACAGGCTGAGCACCCCCAGGACCTCTCCACAAGGTAGAGAGTAAGGAGAGGCACATAGTTCCTTAGGGGGGCAAAGAGACCTACACATTTCAAACACTCCCATCTCCAAAAGATGAACTGCTCACCATCAACTCCAACCCTGACAGGATAAAGAGAACGAGATTGGGAAACAGGAACTGTAACCACTGATGGATAAATAAGAAGCTCAAAGTCAAAAAAAAAAAAATCACCTCTTCATTCAAAATCTGTAACTATTTAAGGAAAATCAAAAACATGAAAGAAAAATGGCAACCTTGACAACAGAACTTTGAGAGTATAAAGATCAAAATGCTTGGAATGAGAATTACAGGCTCCTAATTACGATTCAGGAAAAGATCAAGTGCATAAAACAAACAGAAAGAACCTTTAAGAGATGTGCATTAATCTCGGTGGACTAAGAAGATGGAGCATCCATGAGACAAGAATGGGCTGTTATTTAAAAAGAGCCAATTAGAGAATGCCTGGACATGACAAAGCTTCACATTTAAATCACAAGGAAAATCTCAACAGAAGAACCGAAGATAGAATGCACATAACTACAGAGCAATGTAGTCGCTGGAAGAACCAGCACATCAATAAGAAAGAGACACCCAAGAAGAAAAATAGGCAAAGACAATTTGAACAGACAATTCACAGTAGGAATCCAAGAAGCTATTAAACATATGAAAAGAGCCCCAGCATCAGAGGTAAAGAGAGAAATGCAAGTTAAACAACAGTGAGACCCAGTGTCTGCCCATCTGATGGGGAAAATGCAAATGACTGATAGTCCCCATGCTGGCAGCAGGGTGAGGACACAGCCCCGTGCAGCTTTGGCAGGGGCATGAGTTGGCACTACATTTTGGAAGGCAATCTGGCAGATATTTTCAAATTAAAATGTGCACAGTCTTCTTCCCAGAAATTCCAATTCGAGGGTCCTTCCTAAAGAAATAACCACACCTGTGCCCAAGCTGATATATATGAGCCAATCTCTGCAGCGCTGTTTGTGACCATCACAACCTGGGAGCTCCACTAGTGCTCATCAAAATGAGGAGGGAGTAATACTTTCAACAATAAAGAATTTAATTTTGTTTAAAATAAAAGAAAGTGTTCATGATCTAAAAAAAAAAAAAAAAAAAAGAGGTGGGGAGGGAAAACCAAATTCTAATATGCATCCATGCCATGGAATACCATGGATTTTTACCAGGATGTGCACATGGGTTGGCATGGAGATACCTCACTGCTCAAGGACAGCCGGTGTCCCAATAACTCACAAATGACAGGTACATTGGTCCAGTACTTCACAGTGATGTCTCACTGGAACCTCACAGGAACCTGAAGAGGTGAGTGCACTGGGCACTGGGTCAGGGGTCGTAGCACATATGCCATATCTGTCACATTTCATGAGACATTTCCATCTCAGAGGGAAACTAAGGCACAAGACTGTGAGTAGTTGCCCAAAGTCACATACAGTCATAGAGTTGGGATTTAAAACTTGGCAGCCTCATTCCAGGGCACATGCTTTTACAAAATACATTCAATAATATATTAAGCATGTTTAAAATCAAATTGCTGAGCTATTGGACAAGGATTATCCAGTTTATAAAAAATAAAAACTATATATGTCCTCTTATACATACATTTCTATATTAATGTCCAGGAAATACTTGGGTAGATACCTGGTGGAGGATGGAAACTCGGCTTTGACATGAACAACACTTACACTTGGTATTATATCTGATTTTTCTTAGAATGTAATCTTAAATTAATTGTATAATTAAAATGTTAACTTATAAAACTGGCCACCGGATCTTCACATGGGCCTAGATCAGGTGTCGGCAACCTGCGGCTCCAGAGCCGCATGCGGCTCTTTTGAAGCTTTACCGCGGCTCTGACAACTTGCAAGCCTGTGTGAAAATGAAGGTAACGTCTTATAGCCCTGATGTGCTGACACTGTGCACTGAGGTTCAGGAGCAAAAATCCCATTAACCAGGTAAATTAAATATTTTAATTAGCTATTAATTTGCAAAAATATATTTTACATTGTTAAGTGAAAAAGTCCTTTTTTTCCTTCAGATTGACAGCTAACTGCACGATCCGGTATATAGCATTAAGGTAAGAAACAATATATGCAGTGTTATATTTGTTTTAAGTGTCGCAATGGTTTTGTGGCTCCCAGGTGTGTTTTTTTCCTTCGGAAACGGGTCCAAGTGGCTCTTTATGTCTTAAAGGTTGCAGACCCCTGGCCTAGATGTATTCTGTCTTCAGTGTTAGAAACTAAATTGTCAGTCTCAACCTTAGATTTGGGAGAGAATAAGCGCCTTTAAAAACATCTGGATGAGCCTTCCCCTTCGGGAACCTGTCTACAGCATCTCTGAGAAATGAGCATTTACCCTTTGCTTGATTATGTCCAAGGACACAAAGCTCATTGCTGCTCAAAGCAGCTTACCTTGAACAGGAAAAGGTTTAGTGGGGAAAGCACAAGCTTGAGAGATACACGGCCTGAGGCTTAACTCCTAGACCCAGCTGTATCAGCCATGAAAACTTAGACAAGCTGCTCAATCTCCCTTTCCAAATCTGTGAAATGTAACTAACACACCTCACACAGAGAGCTATGGTGAAGATGAAGTGAGAACATGTATGTAGGTAGAGCAGCAGGCACAGCTCTTGACACAGAGAAGGTGCCAATATTCTCACATCCCCTCCCTCTCTCTTTCCTGCAGGGATTAGAAGGCTCTTCCCAACACAAGTAGAACTCTGCATTGATCAGGGTTAGCCTAGTCTCCCAGGCAGTACTCTCCTCCCAAGTGTCTAGGTATTCTGTAAAGGAGTGATTTTCTATGTGCTTTACAGATAAGATCAGGTTAAGAGTAGTCCTTAGAGCTTGGAGACATCCATAAAGAAAAAGCCATACAAATCCAAGAGTCCCTATTATAGAAAAGCCCAGTGAGACAGCCAACTAGTTCTGCAAGACTTTCTATCCCTGCAAAGCTCAGGTAGAGGGTGGACCCCTGAGGTCCCACAGCTCTGTCTCAGAATCCTGGTCCTACCTTCCAAGTCACCAAGTTCCAACTTTGTCTTTCTTTCAGTTACTTCCATGTTTTCCCAAAAATAAGACATTCTCCAAAAATAAGACCTATTTACAGGTTTCCTTCTGAGTGAAATATAAGGCATCCCCAAAAAATAAGGCCCCCCCTAGGCTCTGTCTCAGAATGCTATTGCTAAACATGAGAGATTTGGTCCACTGATTCTGAAAGAAATGGAGTCACAAGAAATTCACCAGGAAATTCGGGAATTGGATTGTTATGATGATGTTCCAGAAGATGATGACATGATTGTCATTGAATAAATGAGTAAATTCTTGATACTGTAGGATTCACAGTTTGTCTGGTTTGTGTATACCATACTACCATACTGTATACAGGTAATAAATTTCCTTTATTTTCATTTAACAATAAATGTGTACCATATTCTTCTTCATGGAAAAATAAGACATCCCCTGAAAATAAGACCTAGCGTATCTTTGGGAGCAAAAAATTAATATAAGACACTATCTTATTTTCAGGAAAACAGGGTATTGATGCCAGTAGCCACAGTAAAACAGAAATTGCTTCTTTCTACATATCTTATTTAGAAGGCACCCTCTTTCTCAATGTGAGTCCTCAGCAGACAGAGCTCTGGGAAATGAGACGCCCTATCACTTTGTAGTTAGAGTCCTGGTGCATACATCCCCTCCTTTAATGCTCAGAGGATCTGGACTAAGTATTATTACATCAATTAGCCCGGGCAGGAAAGTAAAGCTCAGAGAGATCAAGGAAGCTGCCCACGTACTCCATGGTCACACACGTACTCCATGGTAAAGCTGTAGTTGAACAAGAGATATGGTAACTCTACAAGGAAAGCTTCTCTAACCATGGGGTTGCTTGTTAGGCTCCAGCAAACTCTACAAAGCTGCAAGAGGTCTTTCTAGAATGTCCCCAAGAGGGACATCCTGGAGATGAGGTGGGGATGAGAACTGGTCTTAGACAGAAGGCTGGTCAACCAGCCCCTACGTGTTGATAATAGGGACCACTCAGGTACTCAAGATGAGAGGAGGGCTGGGGACCCTCCTGAGGAGCCCACATGGGTCAAAGGGTAAGCCAGAGAGAAGACCTGCATTGCCTGGTCTAGACAACTTCTGGTCTCTTCTAGCCCAAGTTCCATATTCCTGGGGCCCTGTCTGCTCACTCTCCATCCCCATCTCATCAAAGGCCTCCAGCCTGGCGCTCCCCTCAGCTCACATTTCTACCAGCTTTATCCCCTGAGCAGCACAGCTAAGAGCACTACCTTGTGGAAATCAATGAGATCGGTGAGCGTGGCGTGGCGATTGGGATCCACTCCCAGGAAGCTGTAAAAGTCCCCAGAGGCATCCACGAGAAAGTGCTTGAACCCCTTCTGCAGGCGATAGGAGAGGGTGTAGCCCCAGATTTTCTCACTGACCCGGACCAGAAATGCTCCCTCCGTCATGTTCTCAAGAAGATCTTCTGCATCTTCTCGGCTAATGATTCCTAGTTTAAAAGAGAAGAAAACAAAAGTCAGCAGGTTCTTCCTGCTCCTCAGCCAGTGTCAAAGGCAGGGAGGGGCTGCCTGGCTGTCCAGCTCTTGCCTCAGGCCACTGAGGGGCCATCTTGGTCCAGAGCAGCCAGGTGTCTGCCTGGGCGGAGTTCCCACAGGCTTGGGTTTAGCACACTTTCCTCTAAATTAAGCCACACTCATCTGGATCCATTACAGAGAATTAGTAATGACCCAGAACTGTAGCATCAATCCATTACAAACACAAGTCAGCAGCATGGCCCTGTGGAGAGCCTTGATGGTGAGACCTGGATGACTCATGATTCCCTCCATTATAATGAGCACCTGGAAAAAGTACTTCCCCTTTAAAAATAAAAAAGGCTTCCTCTGTCTACCTGTGGACAGTAGGCAAGCAATTTCTTAATAGAGCCACGTAATTAAGCTTCCCTTCAGCTCAAAGAACAAACTCTCTCCAATCCTTCAATCCTCCACAATGTGGTTTTACCCAGTATAACAGCAAGTTAGAAAAATAAGTCCCTCTGAGTGGTTGAATTACAAAGGGCAGCCTCTCTGGGCCAAAATGGCAAAGCTCACATTTCTGTATTTCAGTCCCTCCTCCCAACTAGCCTCCCCAACCCCAACCACTCCTCACCCCTCTGCAGGGTCCCTTGATTCAGGGTGCAGCCTGTTCAACCTCCAGGAAATGGCTCTATCCCAGGAGGCTGCAGGGACAGCCCATTTGGAGCTTTCGCAGCATCCTGCCCAAACTCTACAGTATATTAGTACAGGCTGTGGGCAGCTCAAAGACAGAGCCTGTGGCCCTGGGAGCATGCGGCCCAGGTCTCCCGTCAAGACAGACCTTGCTGCCAGGAACAACGTGGAGAGCTGGCAGCCTCCAGCTGCTGCATCTTCAGGACCTGTACTGAGGCATGCTACCCCCAAGCTGCTTCCAGCACAGACATCAGACCGAGTCCCCCTGACTCAGAGCACAGGGGTTCCTACACAATGTGGGTCTCCTCTAGTAAGCAATCTTTGCTCCGGGCTTCCCATCAGCCTGACTGGAATTTTCTCCAGCACCAGGCTCTCCCTCCCAATGGTCCTTCCTGCCATCTCTCCCTTTCTAGGAGTCAGACCTGCACCACATCTGAAGAATCTGCTACCCTCTCCTGCTCTGTGTCCGCTTTAGCTTCCCAGGCATTTCCTCCAATAAATCTCATGTACTTCTGCTTCTGGAAGACTCAAACGGACACCAAAACTGTGATGTTATATCCCAAGTGCCGGGATGTAGAGGGACTGGTTTGGAGCAGAAAACAAGTGCACAGATTAAAATCACAGCACAGCCCTAACCAGTTTGGCTCAGTGGATAGAGCATCGGCCTATGGACTCAAGGGTCCTAGGTTTGATTCCGGTCAAGGGCATGTACCTTGGTTGCAGGCACATCCCCAGTGGGGAGTGTGCAGGAGGCAGCTGATCGATGTTTCTCTCTCACCAATGTCTCTAACTCTCTCTTTCCCTTCCTCTCTGTAAAAAATTCAATAATATATATATATATTATTATTATTATTATTATTATTATTATTATTATTTTAGCTCACAGCACAGCCTGGCAGGCATGGCTCAGTGGTTGAGCATTGACCCCTGAACTAGAATCATGGTTCAATTTCTTGTCAGGTCACATCCCCAGGTTAGAGGCTTGATCCCCAGTTGGGAGCATGCAGGAGGCAGCCAATCGATAATTTTCTCTCATGGTTGATGTTTTTCTCTCTCTCTCCCTCTCCCTTCCTCTTTCTGAAATCAATATAAACTATTTTTTTAATCCCAGCACAGGAACTTGATCAGCAGGCGGCGTTAGGCAGGTTACCTAAGCCCCTCTGAAACCCAGTTCAGTGGCCTCATCTACTAGTATTAAGTGCTACTGATAACACTACCTACGTCATAGGGTTGTCATAAAATTGCCCCTCGTTTCCACTGGGTACACTAAGCACACTACACATGTACTAGTGTTGGGTGTTGCCTTCTGCGCTCATAATGCTGCCAGGCTGTGCTGCCCACACCCCACACCCAAAATCCTCTCAAACAGAGGCTGCTGAGGGGACCTCCTCTGAAGGGGACTGGCCCTGGGCCCAGCCTGGGCCATTCTTAGGAGACTCTCCAGGTGACTCAACAGTAGGCATCTGTATATTCTGCCCCTTCGTTAATACTTGCCTAGAAATCAAAATCATTTTGACTCAAGACCAAAGGTGATACAGCCTCATAGTCAGGATGGCAAAGATCTTTTCACAGAAAACCAGCCCCAAGAGAACAGGTTGGTGGCTGGGGCATGCAGGATGTTTGCAAGAAAAACCTGCTGGGTTCTCCTGTCTCGTTCACTCTGCCCTCCCTATCTCCCGACCCCCAATTGCCTCTGAGCCAAGTATTGTGTGATCAATCCCACCCCACCCACCTCTGCCCCTTCTAAGCGCTCAAGCACTCTACAGTCCAGAGTAAGGGAAGAGGAGAGGGCCCCACCCCACCCTCCTGGCTGAGGACAGGGCACAGCACTGGGATCATGAAAACACTCCAGCTCAGCCAATGACCAGGGCTGACTGAGGCATGTGGACTTACCAGACAACAGTCCAGGGTGGTGGGTTCAGAATGATTACTGAGAAGGCAACCGCAGATTCTTTCGAGCCAGTCTCACCCCAGACAGTGGAAAATGTAGTTTATCCCTGCAGTTTTTCTCCTTCCTTTATTTTCTCTTTTCTCTTCCCTCCCTTTAACAAGTATTTATTAGACAAAACCTAGGAGCCAGGGCCCAGGCTGGGCACCTGGACATCAGCACCAAATAAGAACTGGTCCCTGCTTCCCAAAACCTCTGGCTCTGAACAGAAAGAAATATTGGTGTAAATTTAAAAAGCAGATGGGCAGGGAGGGGCACTGTAACCATGGTGATCAAGGCTGAAGGGGGTTTGTATCTAGGGAAGGTGCCCCAGCTCTGAGCCCAGGGAAGGAAGTGACAGACAGCTGAGAACAGAAAGGTTACAACAGACAGGCATGGCAAGGAGGGCAGCTTGCCAAAGGAATTAGCACAGGGCTCCGTGCGGCTGGATGGAGCACTAAAGGAGCAGTTGGGCAACGGGAAGATGCACGGAGATAGGCTGGGGTCAGGCCCCAACGCACTCTCCTTATCGTTTAAAGAAGTACAGACACCACACTGAGGACAATGGGAGATACTGATGCTTCCTAAATGGGAGAATATGAGAATGCCCAAGGGTGGAAAACAGATTCAACGGGCATAAATTGGAGGTGTATGAACCAGGATCTCAGCCCAGTGAGGGTTTCCTCATTTGAGGATTACTCTGCAACTACTACCCTGTTTCCCCAAAAATTAGACAGTGTCTTATATTAATTTTTGCTCCCAAAGAGAAGGAAACCTGTAAGTAGGTCTTATTTTCGAAGGATGTCTTATTTTCGGGGAAAGACGGTAGTACATTTCCACAGCTGTGGCCTTGAAATCCAGCTCCTGGATCACTGGGCTGCCAGAAGTGGCTTCCATTTAGAGACAGAGAGGCAAAAGGACACCGTAAGGGTCATGGGAGACGTTTTATGCCAGGGCCAGCACTGGGCACCACCAGGGCACTCTGTGGCCCTTGTCCCATTAGTCTTCCTGATGACCCCACCATCATCAGTTCATAACTGAGAACAGTGAGGCTCAACAAGAGAAGTGACTTGGCCAAGGTCACAGAGCTATTAAGGGTGGAGCCAGAATTTGAACTCAGGTCTTCAGACTCCAAGCCCAGTGCCCTCTGCTCTATACCATGTTATCTCATGCAGGGGACAGTAAGCACTATAAAAAACACGAGGAGAAGATTAGCGAGGCCAACAAAAGTCAGGATAGGCTTTGCAGAGACAACGAAGGGGGGTTTGAAGTGGGCCTGGAAAACCAGTAGACTCTGTGAGCAGTGAGGAGTGGAGATGAGGTGAACGGTAAGAAGGGATACAAAGAATGAAGAGTCCCAGTAAAGACTAAGAATGGCACATCCATGGGACATTTATACAAATGTAACCTAAGAGAAGTTTAATCTACATCTCAGGAGATTAAGAGACATGGAGGGTAGAATGAAAGGTCTGACACATGTACTAGCATAATTTGAATCCCAAAGAAGAAAGAAGAATGGAGAAAAGGCAACAGTTAAAGAGTGAGTGGTAGAGAATTCATTGAAAACTCATCATAGTGAAACTGCACAAAGCTACTCAATGTCTCATTTTGCCAACCAGAGAGGAAAAGCAGATTGCCTACAAAGAAGAAATAATTAAACTAATAGTTGACTTCTTAGCTGCAACAATTGAAGCCAGAGGACAATAGGATAATATTTTCAGTGTGCCAAGGACAATAGGATAATATTTTCAGTGTGCCAAGGAAAAAATAACTGCTTAATTAAACTATCTTTTAAGAAGGGCAAAATAAAGACATATTCAGAAAAAAAAAAATTGGGAGTTGATGACTAAGGGAATTCAGGATGTACTTCAGGTAGAAGAAATATGATCATGGATAGAAAAACCTGAGATGCTAAAAGGAATGATAAATAGCATAGATTATAGTATGTCAACTTTTAAAAAATATACATATTGACTCACAAAATGATTGTAGTGGATAATTTGAGAGTTTAAGAAACTAGAACCATCTTATCGGGGGAAAAAAGGATTGGAGTTTAAATAAAACTCAGTTGGGTTAGGAAGAGGGTAAAGATATATATTAACTTTAGAATATGTTAAATACACATGTTAAATTACCCATATAAACCCCGAAAAGACAGGTTTGAGTGTGATATAACCTCCCAACAACGGAAAAGAAAAACTACAATGAGAAAATTGTTTTCGATGATGCATGAAACAAACTAATGACTGAAAATAAGTAACTGAAAAATAACTACACCATGATTCCATGTATTAAATTGAAAAGCCCACAAAGCTCAACACTACAGTTTTTGGAGATCAACATAGTAACAGTAAATAA